ACAGTCATAAATACAAAACTGAAAAAAGTTTGACTTTTCAAAAGGAAAGGACAGTGAAGAAGACGGAAACTCATTTTAATAGGTCAAAAAGCAGACTGTTGACATTTTCAGGCAAATACAATTGAACTTGGTGAAAGTTGCAATATAAAAATAGATCCTGGTATTATTCCTGTTAGGAATTGAAATGATTCATACAGTATCTTTACTGGAGGCTCTAACACATCAAAATGTGAAATACAAAAGCAGGTGTGAATACACCTATTTATGAATTACAACGGGGGGGGGGGAGAGAGTTTGCGATACTTCAAAGGAATGTGAGCACACTGAATTCTTGGTCAAAAAAACTACCAGAGCGGCTTATCTGTTTGTTTTCCAGAGATGAACTTCCAAATTGGATATACACCAAACATTTCTTGTATCTCGTTCAAACACGTTCTTAAATATCCAAATGTGACAGGAACACATTTCTCAGCATCAAACACACAAGGCACCGATGAGTGACATTTTGGTCGTCCTCATCTTGAACTACAGCAGCAGTCCGTCCTCCCAAATATTTAAACAAAGCAGCTCTATTGCACAAAAAAGTCTCATTGGTCAACATGTGGAGTCCTTAAAGTGCAACACTGAGCACGTTTCCTCAGTCCCTTTTAAAGGCAAATAGCCTTATGTGGATTTTACTCACGATGCTAATGATTTACAGTACTGTAAAAAAACAAAACAAAAACGAAGGCTTTCTACAGCACGTACCTTCATCTGTTGACTGAACTCTGCACCTCACAGTTACACTACATTTGAGTGTTTTAAAAGCATATGGACACATTTTAACTGGTCTCACTTAGTTGCTGCGACTTCTACAAAATTATGAGCAGGACGAAGGCCTCTGAGGGAGCAGGTCAAACAATGTAGCCGCTCCTTTGAAAGGCATAATTAAGAACTCAAATTAAAGGTCAATTAAACACCTACACGCATTGTCTCTTTCACACGAACACAATCAGACCCACACAATTTACACATAAATAAATAAATAGCTAGAGCAGTACTGGCTAGTCTTGATGTTTTCTAAAGATGTGGCTGTTCCCTGAACACAAGTTAAGTATCTGATGCCACTAAGCATCAACTGCTGAAGCTGAACGGGGCAGCAGATACGTGACAGAGACACTGTCGTGCTGTCTTACTGCAAGTTGGCGCACAACAAAAGCAGCTGTTACTCAGAATGTGAAACCAGACGGTTCACCTCTGATGTTACAAGTCGCTGTAGAGGAATGTTGTTTCAGTACACCGTCTGCTTTCTTTGATGTCCGCTCGATTTCCACAACCGAGCAGAAGGACCGCTGTGCATCGTAAGCTTTTTGGTGACGGGTTTATTGTGTGTGTGTTTTTTTTCCCTCCCATCAGCAGATGTTAAAGAAGCGCATTAAAGAAGCATGAAATACTAATGAAACACTGGAACAGAGATTAGCTGAAGTTCGTCTTGCGCAGATGTTTGTTGGGTATTTCTATGGCACTGACTTGTAAAGGCCAGGAGCCGGCCATGATGCCGGCCTGTAGGGCCACGCCGGTGACCACAGCCAGGTCAGGGTCCACTGATGTGTTGGGCTCCTTTCCAAAGTACTCACTAATCAGCCTCCTGATTCGCGGGATCCTGGTGGAGCCTCCAACCAAAACGATCTCATCCACCTCCTTCTTGTCCAAGTGACCCTCAGCTAACACGGTCTCCACAGGTGCCAGAATCTTCTGGAAGAGGTCCTCATTGAGCTCCTCAAAAAGCGTGCGAGTGATTACGGCCTGGAAGAGAACTGGAGGCGGAGTGGAGCTGTCTAAGCTGTCGAGAGTGCGAAGGTGCAGGGGCACCCGGATGGTTACGCTAGGTTGGAGGGTCAGGTTTAGCTTGGCAGCTTCTACAACCTGCCGGAGATGGTGGATGTCCTCCTTGAGGGTGGGTGGGACTCCAAACTCCTGCCGGACTCGCTCTGTTGTGTACTGGAGCAACCTCTGGCTGAAGTCCTGACCTCCCAACTTATTATTGCCTGAAAGCAAACAAACAAAAGAGCCGTTTAACATTATAGACTGATAGTATAGAGGTACAGTATACACAATACAACACTGTCACAATACAGAGTATATCAATAAGAGTAAGTGCTTTCATTCTGCAGCCATTCACCAGTAATGATTGAAACAGATGGGATTTTTGAGTATCACGTGGTTGCCAGTAGCAATCCTGTTCTGCAGGAATACAACAATATTACATTCAGCAGGCAGCCAGTTGAGTCAAGTCCCCTCGAGTTGTGCTCATCGCCAAAGACTCAACCAGACTGTCTGCATTTAGAAATGATACAATTATTTGCAAACATTCTCAAAAGTGATTGCAGTCCGTCCAAGTCAGACTGCAAATGTTTTGCAGAAAGGTTGCCTCCTATCAGACAACCTGTGCAACTGCCTTTTGTTCAAAAGTGGTCAGGAATGTGCAACACCCAAAAAATGTAGTCGCCACAAGTTATAATATGTTGTAGAATGTGAAAATATTCAATACAATCACCAGGCAGCCACCAATTTCTTTGTAGACATAAACAAGTTGCTGTCCTATTTTTAATTGAGTGGCTGAGCTGTTAACTTGCTTTAAACAAGTAGGTAGATTTGTCAAAGCTAGTTGGATAGTTTTTAACACATTCGAGTGGACTTCATGTAAGTTTGCTTGGCTAACATCATCTCAGGAGTGCATGAGGTGAGCTCTCTTGTTTACAGTGTTCCCAAATTCTTTTCATTTATTTAATAAAATGTTGAATATGGATGTCCCTGTATCAATACAATGTCGCCATACAAAATATTGCAATACTATGCTGTATCGATGCCCCATCCCCCCCCCACCCCACCCTCAGCGTAACGTTTCTCTGAGGTGACACCACAACAACAGTGACACAGTACTCCTGTAATCTTACATAACACCACTTTGAACCACAAGATGCAGTAAGTCACTTATTTGGTATTCAGAAGAGCAGGAGCTATGCAGCTTTTTAGAAATAAACACACAAACATAAGGTCATTTAGCATGCAAGGCATATTTCAAAGACGAAGACCACTGCTGAGCAAAAGAAAAAAAGACTTGTCGCAGTTTTGCCAGAAAACATCTTGATGATCCCCAAGACTTTTGGAAAAATACTCTGTGGACTAACAAGACAAAAGCTGAACTTTTTGAAGGGTGTGTGTCCCATTACATCTGACGTAAAAGTAACACACAATTTCAGAAAAGGAACATAACGCCAACAGTAAAATATGGCGGTGGTAGTTTGATGGTCTGGGACTGTTTTGCTGCCTCAGAAGCCTGGTAGACTTGCAGTGGTAAATGGGACCATGAATTCTGTTGTCTACCAAAACATCCTGTCCAGCCACCTGTTCATAACCTCAAACTGAAACATGCTTGCGTTCTGCAGGACAATGATTCAAATCACACCAACAAGTCCACTTCTGAATGGCTTAAGAAAAACAAAATGAAGACTTTGGAGTGGCCTAGTCAAAGTCCTGACCTGAATCTGATTGAGATGCTGTGGCATGATCTTAAAAAGATGGTTCATGCTCAAAAACCCACCAATGTGACTGAATTACAACAATTCTGCAAAGATGAGTGGGCCAAAATTCCTCCACAGCGCTGTAAAAGACGCCTAATTGCAGTTGTTGCTGCTAAGGGTGGCCCATCCAGTTATTAGGTTAGGGTGGAATCACTTTTACACAAAGGTCCAAGTAGGTTTGTATTTTTTCCTCCTTAATAACAAACACCTTCATTTAGAAACTGCATTTTTTGTTTACTTGTCTCATCTTTGTCTAATATTGACATTTGTCTGATGACTGCTGAAACTGTTGAACCAAGTGTGAAATAAATAAATAAATGAAATGATCAGAAACATTTAAGTGTGACAAACATAAAAAAAGGTTCTAGAGTATATAGAAGCATGTAACGTTGCTTGTTTGTTACCACGGTGTTTTAAAATTATATTTTACAGTCAGGAATGGTGGGGTTTACCCCAGCTGCCACCGAGCGAGAGGCAGGGTACACCCTGGAAAGGGTCGCTAGTCTATCGCAATTTTATTACAACTATACCAAACTTTTATTTCTGGAGCTGTGAAGCACATTACCTGCCATTGCCCTAGTGAGGAACATGCCTCCCTGTTTGATGAGTAAAGACACATCCAAAGTCCCTCCTCCCAAGTCCACCACCAGCACGTTAAACACGTCCACCTTGTGCAGGCCGTAGGCCATTGCTGCAGCTGTGGGCTCGTTGATCACACGTAAGACCGCCAAGCCTGGAAGACAGCGAAGGAAGAGTTAGCATGCACACACTTCTAACATTAATGTGGGGTACGAGTTGTTTTTAATGATGCCTGAGAAGAAGCGCTGTAATGGATTCAAAGACTGGGTAAAGCTCTCTGTAAACCCAGTTTAATTATGTGCAGTCTTGAGACTCATTAGTAAACTGACCAGCAAGGTTAGCGGCCCTCGCTGTGTAGATCCTCTGCCTCTCATCAAACTCTGCAGGCACTGAGATGACGGCCTGCTGCACCACCACACCCAGCTGTCGCTCGGCCATCTTCCTCAGCTTCAGCAGCAGCCTGGAGCTGATGAACTCTGGGGTAACGGTGAAGGTGTGGTTGGTGGAGATCACAAACTCTGCATTGCCATTGTTGTTTATCACCTATGGCAAGAGAAGGATGAGAGGATGCTTTTTTTAAAGTGTGGATCTAATATCACTGCATACACATAGTTAGGAAAAGTGGCTAGATTGGTTGCCTGTCTGAGCTGAAAACTTTCCAAACCCAGCCCAGGATGACCCACCTTGAACGGGTACCTAGCGCTCTCC